AAAACCCCAGACTCTCCCTCGCCCACCTGAGTTTTAGCTTCGCTACTTTCTCAGCCCTGGGATCCGGGTGTATCAGCAAAAAACTCTCACCATGGGCTGGGAGGGGCGCTCACCAGGTAGAACTGCTCCCCTCCTGGCACACCCCCCCCCGCCCCCCTCCTTCCCCTGCGGTGCGCCCACCACCATGGTTTCCAGCTTTGCAGAAGCTGCCGGAACTGAGAGCTGAGAAAGGGAGGGAGGCTGGCGACAGGCTGGGTACATGGGGGGCTCCAGGCCGGAGCTGTGGTCTCTGTGGGGAAAGGGACTGACAGTCTTGGCTGTGGGGAGGGGGCGCCTAAGCTAAGAAAAGAGCTGCGCCCCTCTTTCCCATTCACTCATTCATTTCTGCAGAGAGGTCTGCTGAGGTGCCTGAAAGCCAGTTCACATCCCAAAGCTGCTGCAGTCTTCCAGAGGGGTCCCCAAGTCAGGGGCTCCGCTGGGATGGGCAGGCTGCTCCACCTTGGCCTTAAAGCCTGCCCCTGAGAAGTGGGCAAAGGCGGGCGGAGGCTGGCACCTCAGAGGGTGAGCTGAGACAGAGGGAACGGGGTCTCTGGGTCTTTACACTAGACATGAGTCCTAGCTTGAGTGCCACTGTGTCCTCCTTGAATTCTGTCCCTCATTTCACACTTTCCCCCCCGCAGCCAGTTAATGACTGTGTCCCCGTCCCATTCTCAGTGCATTGGGGCAGCCCATCCTTAGAGGGTACATAGCTTAATGGTCGAGGACACTGGCTCTCAAGTTAGAGAGACCTGGCTTCAAATGCTGGATGTGCCACTTCTGGCTGTGTAACCTTAGTCAGGCCATTTACTCTCTCCTGGACTCAGTTTTCTCGTCTGTAGAATGGGGACAATACTAGTCACCTACTTGACAAGGTTGTCGTGATCACTCAATGAAAGATGTGTGTAGAACCTGTCACGGAGTTAGAATTCAGCCAGCGCTTATGCCTGTCGTTAATATTCCTCCTTAATCAATGTCCGTTGGAGAAAAGGGGAGAGAGAAAAGAGGGGGAGGCCCAGCTCCAGGCTGACAGAACACAAAGAGGAGAGGAGGACTCAGGGTCGCTCTGTCTGCATCCATGCTCCACCAGGGCTGGGGTTGGTTCTGGGGTTTGAGGAGAGAGATCCCCCTGGGTTGAGGCCCCGCTTTGCGTCTACCACTTCCTCTCTGTGGCATAGGGCACCTGGACAGGGCCCAGGGCTGCCTTCCTAGGGTGGCACAGGGCCAGCTCTGGATGCATTCAAACAGCGATATCAATGAATCTCGCAGCTGTGAGCAGGGTGAGATTAGAGGAGGCAGAAGGCAGGGAGCACAGGCGAGGTTGTCTCCACCGTGTTTCCCCACAGAGGATGCGCTCACAGGAAGCTCCCTGGCGATCCCTCCATGTCCAAAGCAGCCCAGGAGAGACTCATTTTCTTTTCCCAGTCCTGCATCAGAATGACGTTTTTTTTAGAGGCCACACCGGATGGTGGAGAAGATGTCAGAATGAGTTGGGGAAGAGCCGGCCAGCCCCGTCTCCCGGCCCCCGGTGGGAGCAGCCTGGCACAAAAGCGAAAAGAGGGGGGAAGCTCTTGTTCCTCAGATGTGTAGGTTGAGACCCAGCCGGCTTGGGCACCAGCCAGGAGCTTGTTCAAATGCAGGATCTAGGCTCCCCTCGGACCTCCCTCCTGAGTGGGGACCTGCATTGTAACCAGATCCCGGGTGATCTTGTTTGAGCCGCAAAGGGCTGGAGTCCTCAGGTCACTGGGCGATTGCAGGAGATGGCTGCGTGCACGTTGGGGGGGCATTCCTCTCTCCTTGGACTAAGATGGTTTCCTTCCATGGGCCCCGGGGAGGGAGTGACAGTGACATACACAAACCTTCCCGGAGCGGCGGGCACGGGCAGGGCACAGACAGGGCATGGGCAGGGGCGGGCTGCTGTGGGAGCTCTGCTGCAGGCTGGCCTCGAGGTTCCTGACCTTTGCTTCCTTCCAGTTCCTGGCACTGTCAGGCCCTTAGATGGTAAGTTCCTGGCAGGCCAAGCTCCCGGGCAACAGTTTGAGTAATCCTGTGATTACTCAGCTCCCCCTCCCCAATCTGGGTTCCCAGCACGGGCTGCTTTAGGGCTGCGGTGAAGGGGTGAGTTTAAAAGGTGAGGTATCCGACCAACCAAGGTGATTTTCAACTCCTGCTCCCCCCACGGCCACCTCTGCCAGTCCCCTTCCCGTCGTCCCCTCCCCTCCCCTCCTCCACAGTCACACTCAAGCACATGTGGGGCTTTCTCTTTGAGGTTTTGGGTAAATGGCATCGAAGGGGACACAGGTGACAGGGGAAGGAGGGAGGAACAGGACAAGAGGCCTGACAGCGCTGCCAGGCCCAGGGCTCGGGCTGGGCCAGGACGTGGGCGGGTTTTTCTGCGTTTCTTTGCCTGTGTCTCCATCTCTGGGTCTGTTTGTTCATCTGACCCTCTAACGCTGTGCCTGTCTCACTGGGAACCTCTGCCTTGGACTACGGTTGAGGACATGGGGGAGTGGCTGGCCTGGTGGCTGGGGTCCAAACCCTGACATCCCCCAAACACAGTATTTGTAAAGGGGGCCTGCGGCTGGCCACATAGTCCCATGAGAAGGGCAAGGTCTTGGTGACGCTGTTGTGAGGTTCCTCGGGCCAGGACCAGCGGTGGGTCAGGCGTGGGTCAGGGCGACGTGTCTGGGTCACCCGTGTGGTCGGCACACACACGCACACGGATGTGGCTCTGGGAGAGGGGAACAGGCAGGGAGGCCTGTGGTTGGCGGCTGGGCTGGAGCCTGAGCTCCCGCTGTGGCTTGGCCTAATCTCCCTCCCGCTTACTTTTTTGGGTGACCCATGTTGGTTTCTCCCCTCCCTGGGCTGAGGGCCACTGAGGAGAGAGATACCGCCACATTGGGAGGGGGGGTTGCTGAAGCAAGGGCAGGCTCGAGGGGGTGCAAGGGTGTCCCTTGGCCTCCGACGCCCACTGGCTTTCGTGGCCCTGGGCTCCGCTCAGCAGTAACTGACGTATTAGCACTTCGCCTCCAGCACAGTGCTCTCCACGGGCGGTAACCTTGACCTATACTACCTGCAGTCCCCCAGGACAGGCCATGTTATTTGTATCCTGATTTTACTGACAAGGGGATTGAGGCCTGGAGAATCTGAGCAACTTGACGGGCAGGTGCCCCCACCTTTGCTGCCCCCTTTCCAGGTCCCCAACTCCCTCTTGTTCTCGTTTCCCCTCCATGCATCCCCACCTGCTCTGGGTTTACTGGGAAGTATCTGAAAAGCTCACTTTCCATCACTTTTCAGACACCAGGTGCCCTGTCCCCCTTGAGAAGGCAGCTGCTGACTCTGATTAAGCGCGCGGCTGGCCTGAGGGGATGATGGTTCAAGAATGACGGAAACGATATTTCAGGGAGCCACGGTGGGCAAGCCATGGCCACCCTCCCACCTCATATCGGCAGGCCCGACATGGTAGCAGGGCCCAGGCCCAGGGCAGGCGAGCTCCCGGGAACGCGGAAGCTGCTGCTTCCCTGACGCTCCGGGGAGCAGTGTCAGGGTAAGAAGGGGCCTCGGTTCTAGACCTTTCCTGGCCTGCTCTGCCCCAGGCCTCCCCCCTCGGAGGGGAGGCAGCAGGTCAGCGATGGCAGAGCGGAGACCATATGCCCTTGGGAGTAACGAGAACACCTGAAGTTGCAGGGACCCCGACTCGGCCCAGCTCCCCTCCAAAGACGGGCTAGAGGGTGACCAAACGCTGGTCCCTCAAACTCAGCAGAGAGATGTGGGCATTGGCAGGGACAGGCGAAGTAGAGGAGATGAACCTGGGGCCAGCAGCAAATCACAGCGAAGGGAGGGGGGCAGGCACAGCTTACAGTGAGCTCAGAGGGCAGCAGGGGTCCCGGTGCCCAGCGAACAAACACTAGCACACAAATATGCACTGTGCGTGCTGGCTCAAGCAGACATGCCCGTCGGCTCACAAATCACGTGTACCTTCTATGTATATACACACATGTGCGCACACACACACACATGCCCACTGATGTGTGCACCCCAAAAGCTACGTACACAGAACAGCATAATGGAAAGCTCGGGACCTGGGATGTAGAGCCAGGTCTGAGGCAGACTAGCGGTGCGAACCTGGGCCAGCCACCCCCCTCACCCGGCCTCTCCCCTCTTCGTAGAGAAGGGGAAGTTGAATGAGGTGGTCTCGCGTCCCAGTCAGTGTTAACGTTCAGGATTGGGGCGCACATAGTTGGATGCAGGGTACATAAGCACGCTCACTCTTATGTGCTGGGACAACAGAGCCACCGTCTCTCTGCTGTGGAGCCAGGGGCTGCCTAGGAGCCCCGTTTGACTCTCACCCTGGCTCTCAGGCACCCAGCAGAGCAGGCTTGTTGAGCCCCCTCGTAGGGTCCATCTGGCCTTCTCCACACCCTGTCTGGGCCCCGCTCCGTGGACCCTGCTCCCTCTGCCCCTGGTCTCTGTGCAGCCCCTCCCTGAGGCTTCACTGCCCGCTGAAGATGGCTGGCATCGCCACCTGGCCCCCAGGTGCCCCCTGCCTGGGGCACCACATCTTCCCTCTGTGCCCCGGTGGGGGAGGGGACACAGAGGAAGCCCCCGGGGCGGGAAGGCCCCTGGGCGGGAAGCAGGTGTTGTGAAGCACCTAGGACTCCTAGGTCCCCAGGCGGGAGGGAGGCAACTGGGGCTTTTCAACTTGGAGGGCTCAGCAGGTGGCCTCTGTGCAGCTGCTTTCTCTGCCCCCAGAGAGCCGGTGCCGGGCCGCCCCGCCAAACAAACCAAAAAAACGGCCTCCACAGACCCTTTGCTGAAAAGCACTTGGCATTTGGCATCTTCCATTTTCCAGAGGGGAAAGCAGGTTGCAGTGCGGGGGTGGGGAAGCTTGTGCCTCTGTAGCCCTGGCCTGGGGAGGGTATGGAAGAGGCTCCTGGGCTGACTTCCTGCTCTTTCTCTTCCAGCACAAATCGAAGTGATCCCTTGCAAAATCTGCGGGGACAAGTCATCCGGGATCCACTACGGGGTCATCACCTGCGAGGGGTGCAAGGTGAGTGCACGCACATGCGTGCTCTCCTAGAGGTGAGGAGAGGGGCTCAGGGGCCTCTGACTCCAGGGATGGGCTCCTGAGGCAGGAGGGTGGGGCCTGGCCTGGAGGACCCTGAGCACACGGAGGGGGGGGGCTTGTCCTCAGCCAAGGAAGTGACTGCAGGACAAACTGCAATTATGCTAAGAAATGGAGGCGAGAAAACTGGCTGGCCGTGGGATCTGGGAAAGCTGGGGTCAGAGCTTGTGGGCTGGAGGCGCTAGGAACCAGGACCGAGCTGGGCCTGGCCGGGGTGGGCAGCCTGGTCTCCGCCTGCCGTCCCCAGGGTTTCTTCCGCCGGAGCCAGCACTGTAGCGTGGCCTACTCCTGCACCCGTCAGCAGAACTGCCCCATCGACCGCACTAGCCGGAACCGATGCCAGCACTGCCGCCTGCAGAAATGTCTGGCGCTTGGCATGTCCCGAGACGGTGAGGCCCAGATGGCGGGCAGCCCCCCCGAGCTCCCCCGGCTGTGCTGGACAGGGCTTAGCCTGCACAAACGCCCTTCCGGAGGTCTGCTCGCCACCACTCCTCCCTCCCACGGGCCGTCTCTTCCACTGTCCACTGCGCTGGTGGGCAGGCCGCCCTCCTCAGAGCTCTTCACAGATCCCAACCTTAGGCTCTGCTAAAACGACCCTCCTTTTCCCAAGGTCCCGACTCTTCATTTCCTTCTCCTCCTCGGGATGGAGGGGCCTCACTCTGCCCCCCTCCAGCCCTGAAAGCACCCAGGTTCCACACCTTTCCTTCCTGCCCCGTTGCTCTAGTTCCAGCCTGTCTCCTTCCCATCACCTACAGCAATGGAGCCTGAGGAGGCCTGAGAACAGCCCAGAGGCCGTGGGGGTGGGGAGGGCTGCTGCTCCCGGTGCTTTTCTTCACCTTCCTCACCCACCACTTCTTCATGCCCCCCTACCCCCCCACTCCCACCACAGAGGGAGCCCAGGGCAGGGCTGGGGGAGGCAGAGGTGGTGAGGAGCCAGAAGGAGCCTGTCAGCACTTTTCAGCACCCAAAATAACAAAGTGAAAGGAAACACGCAGGGGTGCAAGGGGCAGGCGGGGCGAGGGGCTGTGCCCCCACACCTGGGAGGGGTGGGGGGGAGTGAAAAGGCAGGAAAGAGAGAACAGAAGAGGATGTTCAGAAACAAGCCACCAGCCTGGGTTGGGCTGTGGTGAGTATCTAGGTCACCAGGGAGCCTGCAGGCCTGACCACAGGGAGACCTGTGTTCTCGGCTCTCCTCTTCCTCTGACCCTCCTAGACCGGCGAGGTGACCCCAATACAGCTTGAGGCCCCCTACTCAACCACCCCCAGCCCCAATATCAGGAGGCCGGAATCCTCAGTCCAGACTCATTGCTTGAATTCTGCCACGATCAGAAGTTGGTTTGGAGCTGGGAGAGTTTGCACGGAGACCGAAAGGTCCAAGCTGGACAGAGCAAACAAGAGAGCGAGCGGGGGAGGGGTCCTGAACGAAGTCCCCCAGAGGGAGGCTGGAGTCCGCTATTCAGGGAGCAGCCAGTTAATCCCGTAAGGCTCCAAATGCCTCCCAATGGCCCTGCAGGCGTCCCCCTGCCTCAATATCCCATTCCGGGCCTCTTTCAGCTGTCAAGTTTGGCCGCATGTCCAAGAAGCAAAGAGACAGCCTGCACGCTGAGGTGCAGAAACAGCTACAGCAGCAGCAGCAGCGGGAGCAAGTGGCCAGGACCCCTCCCACAGGGGGCCAAGGGACAGACCCCCTCTCCTGCACCCTGGGGCTTCCAGATGGGCAGCTGCCCCTGGGCTCCTCGCCGGACCTGCCCGAGGCCTCTGCCTGTCCCCCTGGCCTCCTGAGAGCCTCGGGCTCCGGGCCCTCCTCCTCCCACAGCTTGGCCAAAGGCGGGCTCCACAGGGCCTCCTACCATCATGAATACAGCCCTGAGCGGGGCAAGGCTGAGGGCAGAGAGAGCTTCTACAGCACGGGCAGCCAGCTGACCCCTGACACGTGCGGACTTCATTTTGAGGACCCCAGGCAACCTGGGCTGGGGGAACCAGGGCAGGGCCCGGACGGCTACTGCAGCCCCAGTTTCCGCAGCACCCCAGAGGCGCCCTATGCCTCCCTGACGGAGATTGGTGAGCAGTTTGGGAGGCGGACAGCGTGGGGAAGCTGAGGGAGGGGCTTCCAAGAGAGGAGCTGAGTGGGCACCCCATGTAACCCCAACATGAGTCCTAGGGAGCTGAGGGTCCTGGACAAGGGGTCGAGAGGGAGGCAGTGCGGGAGGAGGCCTGGCAGAGGGCTGCCCTTCGAACGGTAGGGTAGGAGCCGGCTGACATGGCGCCCGTGCCTTCTGCTCGGCCCCAGAGCACTTGCTGCAGAACGTGTGTAAGTCCTACCGAGAGACGTGTCAGCTGCGGCTGGAGGACCTGCTGCGGCTTCGCTCCAACCTCTTCTCCCGGGAGGAAGTGGCCAGCTACCAGAGGAAGGTGAGGCCAGGGGACCTGCTGGGAGGGAGGCCATCCCACCGCCAGGGGCGTCCAGAGATGGCCACCTGCGCACCCTATGGGCTGAGGCGAGGCAGGGCGTCACAGGGAGACACGTGTGTGTGCCCGCTTTGAAGGGCGGCGGGCGTGTCTACACCCTAGCAGATGGACGAGAGCTTTCCCTGAGCCCCTGCCTGGAAACGCTGTACCTGGCCTGCCCCCGCCTTCTTCCTCCACCCCACCTTGGTGCCCTGTCCTCCTCTCGCTCTGTCAACCATCACAACAGCCGGAGTCCTGACTGCCATTTGTCACACACCCCTGCTCTCCCAGGCACTGCGCTAAATGTTCTACATCAATTATCCCTGACCCTCACCACAACCCGCACCCCCCCCCCCCCCGCGAGGCCGCCATGCGTTGCTGTTTTTAACAGACCAGGAAACTGAGCTCAGAGCTGTTAATAGACTCATTCCGGGAGCCGAAGGCCAACTCATGTCCACCGAACCCCAAAGCTCACGCTCTTGCTCCCATCACACTCAGACACCACCGCCGCTCTAAACCGCGCCTTTGGCACAGAGCTTTTGCTTCTCTAGGTTCTTAAGACCTCTGCATATGTCCTTTTGGGGAGAGGGCTTCAGCATGTCCTCACCTCAACAAGACGCAAATGCTCTGAGGGCAAAGCTGTACCTGAGTTGTTTTTATTCTCTCACAAGAGCTCACTGGGTGCTGGCGGCCGGGGGGTGCTCAGTACGAGTGACCCAGTGACAGGCATTGCCCCCGAGTGTGCATGTGTAACACCCATGTTGAGAGCGTGGGAGTTCAGAACCTGCGCCCTGCGGTTTGTCAGGCCGGGCTCCCAGGGGCTTGGGACAGTGACCAGTGGGTCATCAAGAGGGCTACAGTGGGACCCCCTCCTTCCCTACAGTCGATGTGGGAGATGTGGGAACGCTGTGCCCACCGCCTCACCGAGGCCATCCAGTACGTGGTGGAGTTCGCCAAGAGGCTCTCGGGCTTTATGGAGCTCTGCCAGAATGACCAGATCGTGCTCCTCAAAGCAGGTGCCCAGGGAGAGCGGGCAGGCCTGCAGGGAGTGGGGACAGAGCGCGGAGTGGGGCAGGGCCGAGCGGAGGGAGGCGGCTCAGGTAAACCATGACACTGAGGGGCACAGAGACGATGCCTGGCTTTTCTCCCCACCCCCTAGGAGCCATGGAAGTGGTGCTGGTGAGGATGTGCCGGGCCTATAATGCCGACAACCACACGGTCTTTTTTGAGGGCAAATATGGTGGCGTGGAGCTGTTCCGAGCCTTGGGTGAGGGGCAGGGGAAACGAGACAGATGAGACCAATGCCAACCCCATGTGCAGCTTCAAGACCCAGGGCGCCCTCTTTTCCAGGCAGATTGTCCACTCCACCCCAAACACCAAGAGGGCGGGTGTCCGTGGGCCTCGTCCCGTGGCCTCCCCCACCTTGCTCACTCTCTCGTTTCCACACCGTCAGGCTGCAGCGAGCTCATCAGCTCCATCTTTGACTTCTCCCGCTCGCTGAGTGCCTTGCGCTTTTCCGAGGATGAGATTGCCCTCTACACAGCCCTTGTCCTTATCAATGCCAGTGAGTGTCACTGGGCTTGGGTGAGGGACATTCAGCTGGTGGGGGTGTGATAGACACCGAGGAGTCTGGACCTTCAGACGTGAGGAAACCTGGGAGATTGCTCTAAAGAGCACACGCGCCCTTTACAGGCCAACATCGCTGTGAAATAAAAGGAGTTCAAACAAAGACGCAGAGACGCCTGAGAGAGGGGAGAGGGAAGCACAAGTGGGGCTGGAGAGGTGGAGAGATGTGAGGATGAGGGGAGGTGAGCCACCGCCCCAAGAGAATGGGTCTGCGTGTGCACCCATGTTGGTCACTCCATTGTGGCCGCACACTGGAATCACCGGTGCAGCTTTACAAACGATCGCCAGCGACCCGAGGTTATCGATCTGGGGTGCGGCCTGAGCACCTCAATTTTTAACAGCCTCCCACGGGTGATCGTAAAACTAATTTTAAAACCGCATGCCATCATGGCCGGACTCCGGATATCTGCCGCACTAGAACAGAGTGGGCGGGCCTGCGTGCTCGGGGAGCCTAGGGAAGTGGGTCAGCCACTAACCTGAGTTTGCACACCAAGAATATCAGCCTTCTGGCTCTACCGACGAGAAGAGACCTAAACATGTCCCTTAAACTAGAAATAAAGATTTAAGAGATGGCTTCGGGCTATTTTGTGGAGCCCGGGCCAGAAGTGGTTTGTCTGTTGAGGTTAGCTACAGGCTGCTGCAGAGGCCCTCATGCTGGCCTGGGTGGCTTCACGAAGGCCATCCATCTCCCATCTGACGTCATCCTTGGCCAGGGGGTGGGGGGCTGTCTTCCCATCTCTTTTTTTCCCCCATGGCAAGATTCCTAGTGCCTAGCATTGGGTGCACTATGTGAAATATCAGGGTGCCGGGGAGAAGGCAGCTTGGAGGTGGGAGATTGGAAATTGTCATCCCTTTTATCTGTCTGCCCAGTTTTCCTTGTAGACCGCTAGCCAAGCCCAACGCTTCGGAGCTTACCATTATCAAAGCCACACACACACACACACACACACACACACACACACACACAAGTGGGAAGACCTCATCCAGCACAGATGTCCAAAATGGTACACCCTCTGGTGGAAGTTAATGTCCACCATGTTTTCTCTGGTTCTCACCGTGGTCCCATCTTCTCCTTCAGGTCGGCCAGGGCTCCAGGAGAAAAGGAAAGTAGAACAGCTGCAGTACAACCTGGAGCTGGCCTTTCATCACCATCTCTGCAAGACTCATCGCCAAGGCATCCTAGCAAAGGTAGGAGCAGTCTCCGGGGCAGAAGAGGCCAGGCCCCATGCCAGAGCTGTGATATCTGGGCTGGGGCCTGAGGCCGGAGGGTAGAGAGGAGCGAGTGCCATGTTGCATTAGGGAGCTTGCAAGAGCGCAGGAACTGAGGGAACAAGCAGTCACTTCTATGTGCGTAAAGATAAAAAGTTAGAGAGCATGGAATTGGGAGGGGCCTCCAGGGAGCAATTCAGTTTAATAGAGCCGACACTAACCCAGCACCTGCCTGTACAAGGCACCGTAGAATGGAAAGATACAGAGTCGTGTCCTTGCTCCCACCAAGAGTCTTCCATCTGGTATGAAGCAGAGACTCGTGTGCCAGTAGCTCTAATACAGAGGAGAATGTGAGATATAATAATAATGCCATTAGCGGAGTACTGCCACAGATGTGCCCTCTCATCCTGGGGGCAGCTCTGTCAGCAGGACTGGAGTTAATATCTTCCTGTAGCAATAAGGAGACTTGAGTGCCCTATCCAAGTTTACACAATTGGTAAGTGATAAATGCAAGATTTCATCCCAGTGCCCTTCCCACCGTCTTCCTGTGCCCCTGATAATATGACTTCGATAAGAGATGTCGGGGACATGTTAGAAGAGCATAGAACAGGATGAAAAATAATTTGGGGGTAAAAGCAGTGAATCCTAAATGCTTCCTAGAGAAGGTGGCATTTAAACTAGGCCATGAAATACGTAAGATTTTCACAGACATTCGCGGGGGTGGGGCAGGCGTATCAGGCTTAGAGAAAAATACAAGCAAAAATAAGGAGGCAAATAGTGCATGTATGGAGAATATAGTTCAGGGAAATTTTGACTAAAGTGTAAAGATCAGGATAGATTGATGGGGGCAGTGAAACAGCAGAAGGCACGCTTGAAAAATAGGTCAGGGAGCAAATCAGAGAGGACTTTCAAGGACATATTAAAGAGTAAAGACTTTATTTCTAGGCAATAGAGAGCCCCCAAGGGTTAGAGGAATGATATCATCAGAGCTATTATTTAGGCAATTTAATTTGGAACCAGTGTAAAGGAACCACTTATGTAAGCACTCAAGCAATGGGCCCTTGCTGTGTGCCAGGCACAGTGCTAGGTGCCAAGGACACAGCAATGACTTAAGCAGCCGTCACTGCCCTTAAAGAACTTCAAGTCTGGGAGGAGAGATTAGGAGGCGAGACAGAGAGGCTGGAATGGGGAGAGCAGGTGGGAAGCAACTCTGGTGAGGTCTGCCTTCAGGCTACATCGCCTCCCCACTGTCAATGCACATCCACCCCACCCCCAGCCATCAGTTCTCACTGGGGCGGTTAGAAACGCCTCCCAATTGGACCCCGGCCCCAGCCTTGTCTGCCTCATAGCTGCCACACAGCACTGTTCTCAGTCCTCCGACAGCTGCCCATCAGGCTGAGAATCAAATTTAGAGCCTGTATCATGGCCGATGGGCCCCCGACTTCATTTCTCACCTCATCTTCTTCCACGGGCCTCTCAGCCACCCATTCCAGCAACACCTGCCTCCTGGTCTTCCTTGAGCACACTTCACAGCACTGCATCTCTGGGCTTTTGTACCTGCTGTTCCAGCTGCTGGGAGGGTCTTCCCCCAGTTTTCCCAATGGCTTGCCCCATCCCTTCATTCTGGGGAGGTTTTCCCAGAACACCCCCTACAAAAAGCCCTCGGCCCCTCACCCTGCTTTAACAGTCTTTAAAGAAATTCTCCGACATGTTATGTGTTTGTTTATTTTCTGGCTCCCTCACTAGACTACACATTTGATAAAGGTAAAGATTTAATTTTATTCACTGATATATTACCACAGCCCTTCTCTGTGCCCAGCTGAGTAAGTTTTCAACAGATATTAGAAAGAAAGAAGGAAGGAAGGAAGGAAGGGAGGAAGGGAGGAAGGGAGGGAGGGAAGGGAAGGGAAGGCAGGGAGATATTGCAATAGCTCAGAGAAACTCAAAGTAAAGAAATAGAAATGAAGAAAGGATGCGTTCTAGAGCTATAGAGGAGTCTTATGCTGCCTGGTTTCCCGACTGCCCCTTTCCTGGGTGACTAAGCTGGGGAGAAGTTTGGGGTGGTTGATGAGAGATGTTGTTAAGCCCCACTTGGTCACATAGACAACCCCAGGAGATAAATGGCTTTCTCAGCCTTTCTCCAGGAAGGTCACCCTGCCTTTGTCCCCTGGTGGGTCTCTGGGCCTTCGTCATTCCCCCTCTGGCTGAGTGCTGGTATGTCCCTAAACATGTTGGGCGCCTGCTTGCAAATGGTTGAGTTCAAACAGTTATTGAGCATTTGCCACGGGGTGGGGGAAACCCTACCCAAGGAGCTTAAACCTCGTGTGGGAAAGCAGACAAAGTGGGTCATTTTCCTAAAATGGGGTTTAAGTGCTACACAGAGGGAGGCCCCCAGGAAGGACCCTTAATGCAGGAAGTGATTAGGGGGTATTCTTGGAGGAGGTGACACTTGAAGGTGAGTAAGAATTAGCCAAGCAAAGAAGAATTGGAAATGCATTCCAGGTGAGGGGGACAACATCCTCAAACGCAAAGAGGCAGGTGACAGAATATAACCCAGAGAGTCACAGGATTGTCACTATTGTAGGAGCATAAAGTGTGAGTCAGCGTCCAGAATGGGGTTCATGTGGGGAGTAGCAGGAACACAACTTGGGGTTCCACCCAGAAAACATGCACCTGGCCCACATCTGCTCTCCGTATCTCCACGTGCATGACACACACCTACCCCCACCAGTGGGGTCTGGCTGTCCCACACGTGCCAAGTACATAGAGAGACAGCAAGAAGGATTACCCTGGGGCAGCCAGTTAGCTCAGGTGGTTAGAGCGCAGTGCTCACAACACCAAGGTTGCCGGTTCGATTCCCACATGGGCCAAGGAGCTGCACCCTCCACAACTAGATGGAAACAACTACTTGACTTGGAGCTGATGGGTCCTGGAAAAACACACTGTTCCCCAATAAAATTTCTTAAAAAAAAAAAAAGAAGGGTTACCCTAGCCCAGAAAGGACAAGGGGACTTCATTGCTCTGGGGCGGACGCTAAGGTACCGACCTTCCTTCCCCGTTACCCCATCTCCAGCTGCCACCCAAGGGGAAGCTTCGGAGCCTGTGCAGCCAGCACGTGGAAAAGCTGCAAACCTTCCAGCATCTCCACCCCATCGTGGTCCAAGCTGCTTTCCCCCCACTCTACAAGGAGCTCTTCAGCACTGAAATCGAGTCACCTGACGGACTGTCCGAGTGACCTGGAAGAGGGACTTCTTCCCCGTCTCCTCCCCAGCCTGCTGGCCCACCTCCCCGGGCCCCCCTCCCACCCTCAGCTTTGTCCTTTCTCGTGCCCCCTGGAGGGTGGTCCCTGCCTATCCTTTGGGAGTGGCCAAGTGTGGAGACTGGTTTTCTGCCCACTGGGCCTGCCTGGCAGTGGGCCAAGGGCCAGAGGGTAGGGATGGAGGAAGACCGTCTCCAGCCTGAGCTTTGTTCTGTCCCAGTTCCTACGCCCCTTCCCCCAGCTCCTGGGAGGCCTGAGGGGGTGGGGGGGTGGGGGGGTAAGGACCTCTAAGAGGACCAAGGTGTCCTCAGGACCACAGGGGGCCCAGGACACCCTGGACAAATGGAATTCAACTCTGGGCTCTGAAGCGAAGACTAGGCCTTTGAAATACCTCATTGCTTTTCTCCCATGGGGGCTTCAGCTGGGGGAGGAGCCTCAAGCTCAGAGATAGGCCGCTGGAGCCCAAAAGGACCTGTATAGAACACGAACGGATCTTTAGATTTTTCTGCCTCTCTCCTTCCTCCCAGCTCAGCAAGGAAATGGTTGGGCACCTTGCCATTTTCCTAGGGTCTAAAAAACAAAAACTGCATACATGGATAGTAAGGGGCCGGGGACAACATTCGTATGGGGTTTGGGTATAGGATAGGGTACAATGAAAGCAGGAGAGAGAGAGAGAGAGAGAGAGAGAGAGAGAGAGAGAGAGAGAGAGAGAGAGAGAGAGAACTCAGGCCTCTTACACGCACTTTAAAAATAGACTTTTAGGAGTTAGCGCAAATCTGAGCAGAGACACAGGTCCACATACAGGTGAAACACACTCACTCAACCTGCAATTATGCAGCTCTGTCGATGCATTTAATCTGACACAATCTCTGTCTCCCTTGGGGTCACAGTTCAGAGGAGCTTCGTGGCCTCAGGAAGAGCACCAATCCTGAGGGACCCCAAGACCATGTCTGTGGTGCCCCGTCCCCCAATCTTAGACCTGGGGTGCTCCAAACTTGATCCCAGCCCAGCTGTCCTCATTCACAAGAAACCTCAAGAGCACAGAGAAGGCTGGACAGCAGTCAGTCAGGAGGCCAAGGACAGGCTCCCAGTGGACTGCGTGGGCCCTGCCCTCCAGCCCTGCTCTCATCATGGAGAAGTGAAGCAGATAAGTTCCTGTACTCAGCTCTGCAGGGAGAAGGGAGCCCCAGCTCCCCAGCCCGGACGGCCCCAGTGCTAGTCCCTCCGCTTTGTAAAGAGCTGTGAGCCCTCCGCTGAGGGAAAAACAGCAGGGGAGGGGGGAGGGGTTCGGTGGGTAAACATAGCCCCCAACTTGTGCCATTCTTTATAAAATGATTTTAAAAGCAAGAGGTGTGTGTGTTGGGGGCTGGGGGAGGGGGGACTTAAATAAGTAAGACTGCCTAAATCAGACAGCCACAGTATCATTCCTGCCCAGCCCAGCCACGGTCCGCGGTGTGAGGACTCTGGCCCCCGCTCACAGCATCCCCCACTGACGCTCCACAGCCAATGTTCTGGGCTGAGAACTTTCCCCACAAATGATACCCACCGGGGACATTAGGATGGAGAGGCTGCATCTGGCAGACTGAAAGACAACCCCGAGGAAGGCACCCGGTTGGCCCCCGAGCTCGGGGTGTCTGGGAGACCCTTCGGAGCTGCCCGGATGCCTCCGCTGCCCGACCCCGACCCCTCACTCTCCATCCGTAGTGGCACTGACTGCAGCCCTCCTTGTTGGATTTATTTATTTATTTATTTTGCACCAACAGGGTTGCTGCAGACTCATTCTCGCCTGGTTTAAAAAGAGAGAGAGAGAGGCAAAAAAAAAAAAAAAAAGAAGAAATGCTTTCTGGCTCTTTTCTCTACCTTGGTCTTGGCAGCAGCGGCCGCAGCAGCGGCCTCAGCAGCAGCGGCGGCGGCAGGCGGGCAGGCGAGCGGTCGGGCGGGTTGGCGGGCAGGGGGAGTGCGGCGCACAGGGGAGGCGCCCTGGATGGGACGGCCCCCAGCCCTGGGCAGATGCAGTGACCAACTTGATGCTGCTCTCCAGCTTCTCCGGTAAGTCCCCCCGTCCTGTCCCAGAGCTGCAGCTGCCCTTCTCCGTAACACGCTCAGAGACAAGGCCAGACCAGTGTGCCTGGCAAGGCTCCAGAGGGGTGTGTGTCCCCTCCGCCCCCGCCCCCTCCCCAGTTGATCCTGGCCCCACAGGACTTGGATGGGAAAACTAAGATGTCCCAAGTGCCCCTGGGGGAAAGAACTCCAGGGGAGACCCCCCTCTGCCTCTCCAGTGCTCCCCCTACCTCTGGGGGCGGGGGGGTCCTCCACCAGCCCACCACCCGCCATCAGCGTGGATATTCCACAACTCTTTCCTCCCAGAGCTCTCTCCCCCGCAGGGCCCCACGCCTCTATCAGGTCTGCTTTAAAGGGGATATCCAGGCTCAGCGTGTCTGCGGGCTCCCACAAGAACAGGAAAGTACCCTGTTCCTTGAGGGGATGGCGCCCCAGACCCTAGCCCGTCTAAGGAGAGAGAGAGAAGTGGCTCTGACACCTAACTCTTCCTGCAAAGTGGCCGGAAGCCAGTCCTGTAGCCATGGAGATTGGCAAGGGAAGTTTGTGATTAAATTAGCCACCGCATAGACAGAGCAAAGGGCTTGGCCCCAGGTCCCCCCAACACCTGGCCCAGCAGGCTTTGGGAACTCAGTGGGAACTCGCAGCAGCAGGGAGGGGGGAGCCTGGGCGCCGCGCCTCGCTGCACTTCTGCCGGATGCAGCGCCAGAAGGACGAGCAGGAACCGCAGCGGCAGTGACCAAGGGCTAGCTGTCAGGTGGACTTCCCAGAACAGGCAGAGGGAGGACGGGGAGGCTGGCGCGTGGCTCATCCTGGAGGACTCCGCAGGCCTCAGATATCCGTTAGGCTGGGACAGGGACAGCTGCTCAGCCATCTCTGCCCACCCCATGCCATTCTCTGTCACGCCGAAGCCTCAGAACAGTGCCCTCCGTCCCTCTGCGGTTCAGCTTCCGACTACTACAGTCCTGGGAAGGAGCTTTACGATAGATAGCCCAGAGCCGTCAATACCAGCCCTCTAAAGGAGGGTGCAGAGTGGGGAAGTCAGGGGAAGAAATCACACCCGTCTTCAACGGCCTGTCCCAAGGTCCACGCAGGGGCAACGGGCATGTGGTAGAAAGCTTGGAGCCTGAAAGCCCAGAGGCGGTCAGGGTCTGCGGCCACAAAAGAGCCAGGCGTCTGGCCCGCATTTAGTTGTCCCCTGCCAGATCCAACACCTCCCCTCCCTGGGGGCCCTGTTCGCAGTGAACAGGGGGAGTCAAGGGCTTGCAGCACCTATGGGACCCCTTCTCCTCTGTCACCTCGGTCGCTGTCCAGTGGTCGTTAGAGTCACATTCTTCCTCATTTTCCCAGGCCCCTGGCACCCAGAAACCCAGAGATGGGCTGTGCCAGCCAAGGGACGCCTTGCTCCCCACCCACGGCGTCTGGCGGTCCGTCCGCACTTGTCTATGCCTCCCTGTCTCTTGTGTGTTGCTCAGGCAGCTACGCCAAAGGGGACAGAGATTTCCCTCAGATTCACACACTGGACTCAAATCAGAACACCATGGAGGAGGGACAGGAGGGACGCCTAAGTGTGAGGACCGAGCAACAGAACTCCAAGCTCGGGCCTCTCTTGGGTCC